CCTTTTAAAACATTTTCTTATGAAAAGTTAGTCTCTATAATTATAGAAAAATTAATCTACTCTGATCAAAATTGGAATTGGGAGGTGAGAAAACTACTTTCTTCTAGCAATGCCTTCCTAATCTTCAGATTTAGGTTCTATAACCACCTAGAAATGGTAGTACAAATGGAAACTCCCAACTCTGTCTCCATAAATTTTGACCAAAGTGTTTCAGAATCAGCATTTAAATACTGTGTGTATATTGTATAAATTTTCAATGGTCCTTGATCCACACTTTGAGAAGTTCCCCCCAAATTTTCTATGAGCAGATTAAAAACCATTCATATAGAATATGCATAGGTTACCTACTAAACATCACTGTATATAAATAAGGAAGTGGGAAGAACTTGATTTTGCCTAAGCAGATGAGTTCATGCTTCTAACACACCATATTTAACCACATGATGGGCATTTGGGGAAATAAAATGGATTTCAGGACCAGGCACTTAAAACTTTGCTTTCTTTGGGCTTCTGGCTCTAAAACTAAATAATCTGGGTCTCACAAAGGCTTTTCCTATGATACACAAATGATGAGAAAGTTAAGGATGCCTGGCTGGGAACCGATATACCTTCTGTACTAACACTGCCTGAACTAAGAGACTTAGCCAACTGAACTGCTTGTGTAAGTGAGAGGCCAAGACTGAGATCACACGAAATCATGAAGTGAGAAGAATCATTATACCTCCCCTAATCTAAGTCTTCTAAGCATATTTACATCTGAATGAATTATAAGTCTTAGAAGACAAGCAATACAAATATCTGGATGAAATACTAACACTGTTGCCAACTTCCTTAGAACAGTAGTCCTTGGAGCATGAATGCATTTAGATTCGTTTTGTTGTTATTGTTGATTTTTACTATATTATGGTTCCTTTCCCAAAAAGAATGCAAAATTTCTCCAAAATCTTTGGAGGACAAATTGCAACTTAAAATATTTCCACCAAACGTATTTCATTTAATTATTTCATTAGATTATAGTTAAGAAAACTCTTTATTTCTATAAATCTTAGTTACCATCTTAGGAAAACATTATGCCAGGAACTCTCAGTTGTCCCTGTGGAGTAGGACAAGGAGAGAATCCACTCACCAGCTTTGGGCTGCATATACCTAAACTTAAAAGAAAAGATTCCTTTTCTAATTTATCTAAATGTATGGAATGAACCAATATGAAATGGTAATACTCTCCTTCAAACAAACATGTAAAAATAAAGATGCAATAATAATTTTATGTCACAGAGTTCACTTCAGATATTTAAAGTCTAGTCCACTAAAATGTTCAGAAAGTAGAATGTCACTTAGAAATTCACTATATTTAGTTTATTTCATGTCATTTTCACAAAGAAAAATACACTGTTTAGGAGTTTGCATAAAATCCAAAAATGTGGTGGAAATTTCCCCACATAGTCCTACACCACCATGACTTTTCTAGACTTTTCATTGCTTCATTAAGTGCTTAAAGTGGTAGAATATTCTAAAATATATTAATGTGCTTTTCTCTTATACTTGCTTATAAATGATCTTTCCCATACAAAGCCAAAAGCAATTGTTGGCTGAGGGAGAACTGAAAGAGTAGAATGTGAACAGACAGAAATAATTGGCATAAATTCCTTTTGATTTACAAAAATGGTGCTGAGAACTATTTCAGAAACAATGAATTTTAAATCTCACTATAAATTTCTTGGACCAGACACCAGAGAGAGAAAAGCATTTTCCAAATTAAGAAAGCTTCTCCTTAAATATGAAAAACAAAATTTGAAAAACTGAGCATGCAGTTTTACTGTAAGTCACAAATTGAAATATATGGTACACGAGTACTATTTTACCAAATACCAAACCTTGCCAGGGGGGAGAAGGGAGGGGAGAGAGAAAGAGAGAGGAAGAAAGGAGGAGATGTACGCTGAGGAGCTAAATCTTTTTCCATGATTTACTTTGATGTAGAGAACATCTGTGAAAAATTATACATTAGGCCGGGGATTTAGCCCAGTGGTTCCGTCGCCTGCCTTCCAAGCACAAGGACCCGAGTTCGATACCCAGTACCAAAAAAAAAAAAAAAATTATACATCAATTGGTTTGTGCTCATAACCTATAGTATAACGCATAACTATATTAATCCTAATCAGGAGCTAATTCATTTAATAAGTATTGAGACCTATCATATACCAGATGTCTAAAAATAAAGCAACAAATTGAGAAATGATAGTCCCTGGGGTTCCTTGGAATTTTCAGTCGGTAGCAGGTGGTGGGGTGAAGGAAGATACAAACAAGCTACTGCCTTGTACAATATGTAGAAATAGTTCCATTTACTCTTTATCACTTATTTATGAAAATCTATTCTGGTCTCCTTTTCTTTATGTTAATAGAGATTATTAATGAGCTGTGATGTAGTTTATTCTCATAAACCAGAGAAACTTTTGAAAATACCCTTTGTTTTTTTGAGAGTCCAAACCAACGCAAAGAAAACTTGTATATGGAAATTTCAAAAGATGACTTAGCAACGGACAACACTTTATATAAGGGATAAGAAAATAAGTGAAAAAGAAGCTAGGGAAAGATGGGTACATGAAAGATAAAGGTTGGGCAATCAAAAAAGGAAAATACATTCATTTTGAAAATACTATTAGGATTTTTATGACATCGTATAAAGTTTTTAAATTCATAATACAGTCTTTCTCCGTGCTCTTGTAAAGAATATCTTTCTTCTGAAGTCAAATAATACTTCTACCTGTATAATAATTTCTGATCCTGTCAGAGTCCCTAATACAAACTAGATGGAATGAAACACAAACTTTCCCTCCCTCTCTCTCTCTCTCCCATAGCTATAGTTTATATGATGATATAATTTTTAAGACCAGAAAGTTTTTTTCTAAATACATCATATAAAGAAGAAAATATTAGGAAAAGAAAATTTTGACTACCTTGAATTGGAAAGTATGAATATTTTTTAAGTCACCGTAGAGACATCTAATAAAATGGAGATTTTATCATCTGACAGTGAAGACTTCCACATAAGGCCACTTGTCACATATATGGACCTGCAGGTAACTTTTAAGAGCCTTACTTAAACATTAATGGAGACTCAAGGGTCACCAAATAAATGAGAAAAATCTCTAATATACAACAGCAACGCTCACATGAATGATACAATGTTGCATAGAAAAACAGAGTATGGAGAGTAAATGCCTTAACCACGAAAGAAGATGCCACAGTATTTAGGAATCTAAGAATTCAGCACCATATAGTTAAAGGGATGGTCCAGGAAAACTGCTGTTTAACACAGTAGAGCAGAACCTAAAATGACAAGTGGGCTAAGTTCTTCAGATGAAGCCTTCCAGAAAACGAGGTAATGGGGAAATGAGTTACCCCATGCAGTGGGACAGATGTAGAGTATCTTTGATATTATTAAAAAAATTAAGTCTATTAAACATAAGTAAAGGTTGAAACAATTATTAACTTTAAGGGAAACAAATATGAACAATCATCTAATACATGGCTCAGAAATAGAAAAGGAAATCAGACTAGCAATAAGTTAAAAAAAATGACACGAAATTGTGCATGAGTACATTGGAAAGATGGGTGGGAATGAACAGGAGGTTGAGGAGGACTGTAGAGGTTCCATTCCCCATAAAAAGAAATCAATAATGTCTAAAGTTTTGACCTGCAGCATGGCTGTATGTCTTACAAATATGGACCTATGATCAGACCCTAATAAAACTTAGAAAATTATAGATGAATAATTTATCCAATCTTAGGACATACTAAGGTATCTCCAGGGAATTAGGTTAGAGCTGCAAGAAAACGACACCATTTGTCATTCTACGACTGTCAAGTGTTTTGTTAAGACTATGTGCATGTGATCACTGTGACAAAAATTAATTTGTAGAGTAAGATACATAGAACTGAAATCAATAAATAGCAGAGTCAACCATAAATATAGAAAACACGACTTCAAAGCTATGAAATATTCATGCATGTGCAAAAGTGAGAGAGTTAAAACAAAAGAATTACCAGTCAATACAATACAGAAAATAGTTACATTTCACACCCAGTTTGTCCTAGTTTAGTCCACCCTGCCGTGTTGCTCTTCCTGCACAAACCCAGTGAAGATTCTTTCCACTTAGGCTCCATTCACAGAGAGGCCTCCCATCGCTCACGAACCCCTTCTTCCTTTCCATTTTTCTTTAGACAACTCAATCCCACCTGTGATGCTTTGGATTTACTGGCTCATTGTCATGTCCCTAGCTGAGCAATGATCACCTGTTTCATTACCTGGTGCATCTCCACAAGGAAATAGTGTTTCTCACACAGTACGCACTACATTTTTTGGTCCAGCAACTTTGTAATATTGGGGAAAATGAAATGAACTGTGAAACCCATCACTGGAAACAGATTAGAAAGTTGTTGACTGTCCTTCCATTAAAACGTACATTATGGCGCACATGAAATTTAAGGGCGTGGTTTATTGCAATGTGATAAAATTTGTTCATACACCTGTGTACGTATAAGATACGTGTGTATACTTAGGTTCGTATGTGTAAAACAGAAAATAACTATGAGAAAGAGAAAGGGAGAAAATAGGAGGAAGGTAAATCTGAAAAGAGGGAAAGTCAAAGATATAAAACAAAGCAGACGATAAAAGAGGAAAAAAGGGGGAGGGTTGGGGAAGAGAAGGATGAATAACTTTTAAAACATATTCACAGTGCTTTTCAAAGACTGCTGATATTACAAGTTATTTTTGTTTGCATATTCATGCTTTTTCTGGTTTCTATGACATTCACCAGAGCATTAATTGCTTTTTAAATTGATTTTTAAAATATTGTATGAAAGAATATATTCCACTCTATCATTCTCAGACATTCATCTGTATAACTGCACAGATCTACAAGAAGGAGGTGAGGCAGAAATCTGGGAGCTAGTTAATAAATATTTGCTAAGAAGTTCCTACAAAACATGTCATCACTTACGTTGTATGATCTAAAGTTGGCCTGTGGTTTTCTTCTCCATGATGTATACTGATCCCATTACCAAGTCCCCACCTGAACATGTTTGAATCTTGAAGTACATGTCCTGGGATTGGCCAATACCACTTACACAGGCTTCGTTTTTCAAATGTGCAAACATCCACAACTTGGATAGAGGAGAACAAAGAACAGATGAGCTAATCACAATAACTACGTCAACAAAAGGTGATTTTGATCTCTACAGCACTTTCTCACTCCTATTTAATTACAGTCTAACTTTGAAGCATTCTTAAAATAATTAAGCAAACAATTTCCAAAACTCCAGGTCTGTTCCATTAAAATACCTATGGCAAACTGAAATGTGGAAATAAATGCATGCACTAATAATCAGCTTTCATGAGAGGTGTGATGTGAATTAGCTCCTGACAGCAAGGCAAGCATTGCCAGTCTCTCCTAACACGGCACTTCTGATGCTTGTACGATAGAGCCAGTTCTCTTTATCTTTACCAATGTGACAGAGCTACACCTCAGACCAGTCTCTGACAGGGTTATTGCTAATTCCAAACTATGTGACTCCAAAGAAATATGATTTACAATAAGCTTATGCTGACCACATCTCTTTGAAAGTTTTTAAGATTCTTATAATGATTGTATCCTAATATTACAGAAAATTACAAGTCCAGCAATTTTTTAAATTCAGAGATTTTGTATGAAAATGCTTTTTAAATTCTCTTCTGTAACTGAATGTGTGCATGTATCCTTCTATATATGTTAAAGCCTCCATTCTTTGACTTTAAAAAATGGTTCAGTAAGTTATGTACACTATAGAAAATCTGACATGCACTCCAACTTTCAATGTCATTAGCTCGGATGGCATGGCATTTCCACCATTTAGAAACCTGAGTATTTGAGTTACAGTAATATAAATTCTGAGAAGGAAATATTCCAATGAAAAAGTGATTTTTAATCATGTTATTTAGGTGTTATTTAATCTCTGATATTAATAATGATTATATATTTATTTTGTGAAGAGATTTAGGATTCAATTGGGATTAGGATTCTATTCTTTATATCATTAAAATATAAGAATTGTGTGCTTTTTAAAAAATTAGCATAAAGTATAAGTCATGTAAGAAGAGTAAGACCTAGAGATCTGTGTATGACATTGTACTTATAGTCAACAATAAAGTGATGCACACTTAAAAATTTATCTCCATTAAAAAACATTTAGAAAATATAAATATGTCATTTACAGATTTATCATACTTTACATTACAAAAGAGGAAGCAAGTTCATACAATTAGTAAATGAAATGTCAATAACGCAATCTTATATATTCAAAACAAAATTATTCTCTGATTTGAAAATAACTTAAGAACATTCATGTCATTTAAAGAACTTATTAAAACACCTCATTTAATCATAAATGACATTAACATAATGACAAAGTTGAACTAAGAAGAAATTCAGTGTTCACTAATAATATTCACTGATATAATCTGTTAGGTTTTGTGTAAACTTTTACAAATATTAAAATTTATATGTAATCATGCTAATGACTTCCCATGAAAAAGTCCTAATACTACAATATCTTCCACTGCACTATTTTCCATTTGTGTTGCACAGTATAAATCCCTGTCTAACTTGATTACTGTCCCATTTCGTTCATGGACTGAGCCAGCTCTGATTATGATATTTTTGATCTAGATTACATAATTCGTGGTGTATTTGTACATTTTGAATCCTTTTTTCTGGATTAAAAGAATAAAGATCAACTTCATTGGATTTCTTAAATCCTAGAATTTCTTTTGACAAGGCTGACCTAAGATAAATAAGCATTTCACTACATTCCCTGTGTTATCTGTATGTAACCATTAACCTTCACTATTCAGTTACAGATTAAATTTTTTGGTTTTTTGTTCTTTTTTTTTTGGTACCGGGGATCAAACTCGGGACCTTGCACTTGCAAGGCAGGCAGCGGAACCACTGAGCTAAATCTCTGGCCCACAGATTAAATTTTTGGCTCTCTATATCTTTGGCTGAGAACTTCATTTGTAAATTAAATAATGTGTCTTTTTTCACTTAGAAAAGGCTGTAAATTGGCAAGTACAAATAAATCGAAACTATGTTTTACCAGGACACAGGGGTCGAAGGTCTCGTCTGTATTATAACTCAGTTTCTCATGAACACTATATATTTGATATAATATCCATTGTTGTACGGGAATTTTGATGACGGCAAAATTTGAGTCACTTAATCTAACTCTCTAGATGCTTCCTCTCTAAATATTTCCATTTGACAGTGTAAAGAGTAGAGACAAAAAGGGGAATAGATAGAGAAGAAGTGGTAAATGATAGTCTCAGAGTCAAGCACAGTCTGTAAACACAGTAGCTTTGAATGCAAAAATTAACCAAAAGAAATTTACTTCTAGAGTTGAGGATTTAGCTCAGTGGTTCCGCCACCTGCCTTGCAAGCGCAAGGTCCAGTTAGACCCATAGTTAGATCCACAGTTAGATCCAGAGAGAGGAGAAAGAAATTAATTTACTTCTATTGTGCCTGAAAGAAAATGCATGATGATTCTTCTACTATCATTTTTATACAAATAACTCTTACATTGAGAGACCGCTCTAAGCCTCATTGAAAATTCTGACATTCGGTGACATTACTTAGAAATTATACTAGTATTTTGATCTACCTATGGCTACAGTTAATTCAAAACTTAGGAATTTACCTACCACAGAATGATTCATCTGATTTGTCTGGGCAGTCATATCTAAAATCACATTTCTGAATTTTTTCAACACAATGACCATCAGTTCTGCAGACAAATTCATTATCTGTGCAGTTGTGTGGAGGTAATGTTACTGGAACTGAGGTTTCTGGTGGAGTTGGAATGTCCGCTGGCAAATTCCCTGGATAACAAAAAATATACAGGCATCATTTACCAAGCTTTACATTTCTTTAAATGTTTTACACAATGGAGCTTTCTAAATATGTTTCCTTTCAACATTATAACATTTAATGATATTGTAGTTTGTTAAATATGTTTATATAAGCATTTAAACTGGGTGTCTTATCTTAGCAATGATAAAAAAAGCTCTGAACGTACAAATGAAAAGTTATTCGCCAGGGATTTAGCTCAGTGCCATTGCACCTGCCTCACAAGCACAAGGTCCCAAGTTAGATCCCTGGTACCAAAAAACAAAAACAAAAAAAACAACAAAGTTATTCAAACGGAAAAGATATTCAGAGCATGCCAATAAATAGGCCAAAGAAAAGGCCTGAAAGATAAGAGGGAATCAAAAGAATTCTAGATGTCGGCCCTGGAAATTAAAGACAAGGTCAGAATCAACCTTCTAGTCCACTAGGTAAATAAACTTTGTTCTTCCACTGCTGCAATGAATTAACATCTCCATCTTTTGTTACATATTCAAGACTTAAGATTGCAGGACAGGGACCAGGGATTTAGCTCAGTGGCACCGCACCTGTCTCACAAGCACAAGGTCCTGAATTTGATGCTCAGTACTAAAAAAAAAAAAAAAAAAAAAAAAAAGATTGCAGGACAGATCAAAGCCAGAAATCTCCATTTATAATTTTTGAGCGACTAAGATTATACATTCAAATTACAGAGATTGAAAGATACCTAAATTGATTAGTTTATACATTAAAATATTTGATATGCATGGATTTGTAGTATCTTCATGCCATGCACATGTTGTATGCATTGATTTAAAGCCAAATAGGCCATTTTTGCCATGAAACAGTTACCTACTAGTGGACAAATTAGTCAAATATTTATTTATTTGTTTATTTTAGTACCGGGGATCAAACTCGGGACCTTGTGTTTGCGAGGCAGGCAGCAGAACCACTGAGCTAAATCCCCAGCCAAATATATTTATTACAATCCCAAGATATAAGTTTACAACAGAAATTGTAACTGTATGGAACTGAGAATGGTATCTATCCTTTCAACCCTATAACCACAGCACATTTCCTCAAACCATTGGCAAGTGGATGAATAAATGGACAGATGGATGAAAAGATGAATGGATGACGTATAACTAAGTGAACTAACAAATAACTACACAAACGAAATATTTTATAGTGTATTAAAAGAACAGAGAAGAAAACAGCATATCAGAAGGGAGAGAAAAAACTTTTGGGCAAGATGATGCCTAAATTAAGAATTAACTTCTCTGGAAAAAAAACAAGAAAAGAATTAACTTATCTGGCTGGATGAAGAAAGATACAAGGTCTTTATTGGGCAGTGACCAAAAACCTATGAGATGGCAGAGAAAAATATTGGACTGTTTTTCTTTTAGTTTGAATACCATGAGAGTTTGCCATTAGAATGTCTGGCGACAGAAGAGGCATGAGTGCAGGTGGCTCATTAGATTGGGAACTCAAGAGCAGACAGCTCCCAACTCATAAAGCACCAGGTCAGATAAAATTTTCAAGTCTGGAATAAATTGAAAAAGCTGTGGAGAAATACCAAGATATAAACTTTTTATTTCAGAAATATTTACCGGGTGTTAGTGAGGAGGATGTTTTGCCTGTGCTCTGGTATGGAGAAAGCAGAAGAGTTATGCACTTTCTTTAACTCGGGTAAGTCATACCTCAAAGCAGAAGTTTAGGGGTGAGAGCAAAGGCCTGAGCAACATTAAACACCCAATATCAACTGGACTGGAAATGTGGCTACTGTTGGGAATTTGAGGAAAGTCTGATAAGTACATTGTCTTCAAATTTCCTCCAAACTTTCTTTCGTAGTTCAAATTCTGGAGTAATTAAGAAGTAAGATCGACGTGTACAGCAGACAGTAGATCCACATTTCAATATTTTAGAAAAGACTCTAATACTGGAGAAAATACATATATCTGCAGGAAGTCCTCTCCAAAAGAAAGAAACTCAAAAATAAACCCTAAGTTATAATCTATTCCTGGAAATGCAGAGCCTGCCTTTGTGGTAATACAATAAGGAGGTGTTCACTAGATCTATGCTTCTTATAGCAAACCAGCTACAAAACGAGAATAGGAAAAGAAGAGCCAGGAATGCACACTCTGGTTTTCTTGGCAAACTTACACATCCATTGCTATTTTTCCTTTCCCTGAAAAGGGGTGAGAAGGAAGATCAGGAAAGTACAGGAACATTAGGTTGTTTAGTCTACGTGAAAAAGGAGAGTAATACCAAAGAAAATGTGTTCTGCCCCAAAAGGTGAGAATTAAAAATAGTAAGTACATTAACAATTAGATGATTATAATATATTCTGTGATATCAGATATATACGGTGTATGACAGCAGGAATCAATTTGTAGAACTGAGGAAATATTTTCTATCTCAGCAGGATTTCAATGGCGCTAGCCAAGAAAAGAAGGCCCTAAGAGCTCAGAGAGATTGTGTTCCTTCAGGCAGATAACCCCACATTAATATCATACAACAAATAACTGAAAATTACCACCTACCATGAAAATTTGATACAACCAAGGTTATAAAACTTGAAGATTTAAAAGAATAACTTAAACATTCTGAAATCTGATATTTTAAAAAATCTAAAAGAACAGAATCAGAAGGAAAACCCACTAAACTTGATGAACAATTACTTCCAAAATAAAGTTAAATGAGATTGCAGTATATTTCATACTTATCTACAGTTTTGGTTTCTGTGGCTTGACTTACACTCAGTCAACCATAATCTGAAAGTATTAAATGGGAAATTCCAGAAGGAAACAATTCATAAAATCTAAAATGCACAGCATTCTGAGCACAGTAATGAATTCTTGGGTCATCTTATTCTTCCTATCAGGACATGAATCATCTCTTGTCCACCGAATCTGTGCTGTATCTTCTCCCTGCCCATTAGTCACTTTGATAGCCATCTGGGTTATCAGAATGACTGTAACAGAATCATAATGTTTATGTTCAAGTAATCCTTATTTTGTTTTTTAATGGACCCAAAGTGCAAGAGTAATAATACTGGTAATTTGGGTTTCCCTTAAGTGAAAATATGAGAGTTCTTGACTTAATAACATATGAAAAAAGTCTTGTGCTTAAATTGTTAAACATATACAAAAAGAAGTCTTCTATTTGTGAAATTGTGAATAACTGAAAATTGTATTAGCATGTAAATTAAAACAACACTAAGATACCATCTTTTCCCAAAAAGAATGGCTATCATCAAAAAGTCAAATAATACCAAGTACTGGCAAGGCTGCAGGGAAAGTGGAACCCTTCTACATTGTCGATGGGAATGTAAACTAGTATAACCACTATGGAGATCAGTATAACGATTCCTCAAAAAATTAAAAATAGAAATCTATTTGGGCCAGCTATTCCCCTTATGGATGTCTTCCCCAAAGAGTTAAACTCATCATATTATATTGATATATGTATCTTATGTTTATAGCACAATTTATAATAGTTTAATCTTAGAAACAACCTACATGCCCATCAACAGATGAATGGATAAAGAAAATGTACTTTCTACACAATTTAGTACTCTACTATAAAGAAGGATAAACTTGAGGTATTTGTGGGTAAAAGGCTGCACCTTGAGACAGTGATATTAAGTGAAATAAGTCAGATATGCAAGCTTAAATATTACATTGTTTCTCTTACATGAGAAACCCAAAATATAAACAAACAGCAAAATAAAAGATAGACAATGGGACCCAGGGGGATCCTTCCCAAAAGGGAGGGCACAAGGGATGGAGGGAAAGATACAGGGCTGGAAAGAAGAATTGAATGAGAAAATGGAAATAAAGCTGTTGTAAATGGGAAGGGAACCAGACTGGAAGGTGCAGGTGGGGATTATAGCGGCAAGGGATGAAAAGAAGAATTAAGATGGGTTATGTATATGTGCCGATTCCCTCCGATAAATGCAATCACTATCTACTGCAAACAGGTAGTAATAAAAAAAGAACACTGAAAAAAAAAGGGAAATTGTGTTAACTGTACTGCCACATCTCAAATCACAAGTTATGGCCACAGTGGATGGCAAGCAAGTGTTTAGTTAAGATGGAAATGGCATTAAATTTGTGAGTGGAAGAAAAGAACAGATAATGTGTTTGAATGGAAAGCACTATGGTAAGCCAGAAAGCATTATGCCTATATAAAGGCTTCTGCTAGGGAGTCCCTGAAATGACACTCAGTAAGCCATTTACTGCAAGGTAGGGGGAATTGCACAGATACAGGAATTGATTTAGATTCATAAACTTTCTGTAAAGGCTATGTCATTCAGTGAAGAACCTTCCGCCACGTTTGCCACAGCTGAATAAAAAAATACCTTGTAAAGCAAGTCATAAATTGTGTTGAAACCAGGCTTTTTGGGGGAAAAGGGTGCAAAAGAACCTACATTTGTAGAAATGCAGAAGAGGCACTTAAGTCATAAAATGCAGATGGAGAGATCATTTCTGGTACATGTGGAGTGCTGCAGGGCATATGATAAAGCCAGACAGTGTACAGAGTAAAGAATCCACATATTCTCAAACACAAAAACAAAACTCATCTGCCCATGTTATGACAGCACAATTGGAAGGCAGGGGGGATAACCATCTTGTTTGTGGAGTGGTTCCACCAATACTTCATTCCAGAAGTAAAAAAACTATTTGGAAGAGAAATTGCTGGAATTTAAAATTCTTTTAACAATAGACAATGTTCTTGGCCATCCTGAATCTGTTTGCTATGAATATGAATTTTTTTACTCTAAACACAATCTCATTTAGCTCGTTGACCAGGATATCACCTGGTGTTTTGAGGTAATACATAACTACCTGGTATTTGAATGAATTCAATCAGCATTTGACGAAAACTCTAATTTGAACATAATGCAGTGCTGGAAATCACTCACTATTGCTGATGCAATGATATTAATCTAAACTGCACGGATGAATTAAAATTGTAAAAGTCTGTTGAAAGT